TCACATCACAAGAAAGTATAACTCCTCAAATCATGCACCAATATCTGGCTGCTGTTCCAAAAGCACCTCTGTGGGTTAGCCCAGAGATGCAGTTTGCAATATTCACACAGGAGAACTATTGGGCTTGAAATGAAGCAATTTCTTGCTCCCCATGTAGGATCACAATGACGCAAAGGCTGTGAATACACTTACCCCCTGGAAAGGAGGGATTACCTCATGTCTCCCAAAAGTAGTTCCTCCAGCTGAGCAAGGAAATACTGCTGCCAAACTCCAAAGGGAGTCCCCTTCTCTTCGGCCTGACAGATGGTAGCAGTGACGCATTCCTCGGAGGGAACGTTGTGAAGGGGAAAACCATTTAATCCTCAGGCTCCAAAAAAGGGTGTACCTGCATACTCGAGTATTCCCTCTAGAGTTGGGGAAATGCTAATTTCACATTAATTATAAAAATATAAGCTAACTTAAGTGTCTCATTGTTTTGAAAATTATGATTGTTGTCATTAGAAAGAAAACATAAAGGCATCATAGGATTTTCATTACACCCCATGAACTGGGCAAGCATCCATGGAAAAATATAAAATGATTTAGTTGGATTTTCCACCCAATTAATCAGTCCTGAAACCAACGGAATCATTGTATAATGAAGTGGCTTTGCTCTAAAGAAGTCGTAATAGTTTACACTGCTCTAATGATCTGCTTCTTGGAGAAGCTGAAGATAACAACAACCACCATCACCAAACAGATTTATAACTTAATAATACTGTCAAATCTAAGACCACTTTTTGGAGGTAAAAAAATTGCCTTACACTTCCCTTAACTTCAAATATCAAACAGATAATTATGAACTGGAGAGCTCAGTGCCAACATTTCACATTTTACACAAAAGCCAAGGAATTAGCCACTAGTATTTTATAGCATCACCAAAGAATTGCACTTCATTATTTAGCAGCCGTAGGCTACATGTTCTTCCCAGTTTTGCAATAAAAAAATTGTATGAACACCTGGCATGTATAGGGATTACAGGTCTCATGTGAGATATTACAGTCACTATATTAAAAATATTAACATAATATAAAAAGCTATGACCAAAAAATAAATAAATAAATAAATAAATAAAAAGTCCTTTTGTGTTTACCTTTTTCTCAAAAAGTTTTTAAAACTACTTAAAAATTTTATATAAAAATACATATGGGAGAAATAGGTGGAAAACTGTCCAAACTAGCTTGAGAAACAGTAGGGAATAACAAAACACTTCATAGTCGATCACAATTCTGTCCAAGTCAGTAAAGTGATAGATAAATCTAGACAACAAGCTACATGAAAAAACACATAACATACTAACCTCAGAAGGGGAAATTTTTCCTATAAAGTAATAATCTCTTCTATTGTTCAGGATATATGAAGAATATTATATTAAACATAACATTATAAATGGATAATAGTTTAATTACTGGAATAGGGGATTCCGGGCATGAATCCAGAAGCCAGTAATTAAGAGCAACAATGACATCTAGTGGATACTTTGAAAACAGAACATGAACCACCATCACAAAAGAAGATTCAATTTTCTTTGTAATACACTATATGGTTTTCAAGTTGCTATAGCACAAGGGCATAAAAACATCCAGAATGAGTGGGCATAAATGTGGCAGAGGAAGGGAGCTTATATATAGTATTCATTCTCTTAAACAGGAATAGGAGGTGTTGTTTTTTCCCATGGGACTTCAGCCTCTGGATTAAAAATTAAGGATAGAAATAACTATTTGTGTTTAATAAACTGTGAGAAATCAGCCTGATTTCAAGGAGACCAGTATGAATTTGAGGACGCAGCAGATGCACAGTTGTAACAAAGTACAGTTAAACTTCTTGCCACTGCACAGATTTCACCACTTGTCTCCCTTCTTTCCTTGTTGATTCTGCAACATTTAAGCATTTTAGAATTATTGTTTTAGACCATTTACCATCTTAAACATATGTTTTATAAACTCCAGCTGTACTCCTATTTCTCCAGCAGCTGCCACAAAGTGGCCCAGCAGCTGCTGATGCTTAAAGATGAGGCATTTGAATGAGCAGGTTAAAGTGACTCAAAACTTTATCTCAACACCTGCTCCTTAGTAGTCCAACTGCTTTGCTTTCTTTCTGATGTGCAAAGCCAGCTCATGTGAGATCATTAATTGTCTCAAGTTTGCTTTTACTATTTGCCAGCAAGGCTAGTTTATATTCAAAAACCAAGTCAACACTTAGAAACCATTCAGATCTGCTGTTGGCTGTTCCACTGAAGAACACAGTTATTGACTTCATGACAAAATTACAATACAGAGTTAAAAAAGCCAATTTTCTATACTTACAATTGTATAATAATTTAAAAAACATCTTTACAAAACACTACAAACTGAGTATTGACCCTTTTTCTGGTCTTAAAGAGATTTTTTTGGATTTGGATGTTTTGAGAAACTGGAGAAGAATTGGTTGACAAATAAGTATAAAAAACCAGAAGAGTTTAATTTTTCATCCTACATTTTCCTCACTTCCAATATTTCCACCCAATAATTGCTGTCTGTTTGCTGTATAATGATCATGATTTGTGTAAGAAAGATAATAAGTACTACTGTTTTTTGATTATTACTTGGCTGCTTTAGCTATTTTTACATGCATATTTAGAATTTGAAATTAACAACTGAGCTTAAGTGATCACATATGGTTTTGTAATACCTTAAAGATTTAATATGTTGATGGCTTCCTGCCTCTCTAAATCAAATGATGACAGTAGCTTTAATGTGTAAAAGACAATCTGTCCCATTGCTACAGCGATGCTAGAACAGTGCAAAGGAGCCTTATTATAAACAAGAATCTGACCCTACCACCTGTTTTCACCTTGCCTAAAACCTGACCAAAATACTGAAGTCAATGAATCATTATCTTCAGTGAGCTCTGGATCAGACCCAAGGTCAACAGTGCACTCTAGCATCCTAAAAGGGAAAAATCACTTTCATATTTACATAGCACTGTACCTTTTCATCAAGCACCCAGCACCCAAACACCTGCATTAACCCTCATCTCCAGTTGGGTTTATTAACTGCACATTTGCTTCTTGAAGAAAGTAGCAAGGGTTGACATTACTACCTCTGCTAATTTTCAGTCCAAAATTACAAATACTTTTAAACCCAAGTCTCCCTTCAAAAGTATACTTTGTGTGAGATTTTCAGAAATTCTTAAGAGCTGGCTTAACACTGATCTCAGTGAAGTCAAAAGTAAAGTTTCCTTTGGACTTCAATAGGAAGTTAAGCCAATGGTAAGCACTTCTGAAAATGGCACCCTGCATCCCATTATGAAATCCATACATTTAACACTGTAGTTTTGTTATAGGGAAAACATCAATAATGGGGCCCAAAGAAGCATTTACACATTCAATGACTACATGCAAGTTCCAAAACAAAAAACAAACATGATTCCTTCTGTAGATTTTTAAGAATTATACCAGGAAAAACCTGAAGGCAGAAACACCAAAAGCAATTATACTGTATAACCCAATTGTTTTTTTCAAATCAGGACTGTTTGCAATCTGCGACTCAGTGGGGGTTACTGAATTATGGACAAATGGCTCAGTTGATTGTTACAGATACTTGAAAGGGCACTGCTTCCCTACTCAACTGAAGCTCATCAGCAGGTGCCAGACAGTTGACTGGAGAAGTAGCACAGCCTTCTAAATAAAAGCCACAGCCAACAACTGATGTACCTGTTTGCTGTGAATATATGTACTCCCAAGTAGCTCATAAACTCCCATCTTCACAGCAGGCTGAGGAACCTAACCCTACTGTATCTTATACACACATTTATTATGAGTCAAAACAAGACTGAAGAAAAAAAAACAAAGGAAGGACAAAGCAAATTCTATAGCATAGTACAGGAAGCAACTGATACTTCCTCTGTATCGTTTCTCCCACTATTCCTTCATGAACTTATTTTCTATTTTCTCTCTCACCGGTTATTATACAAATTCCACACTTATACTACATACCAGTGTTTCTCAACCAGTGGGTCACAGCCCAAAAGTGGGTCACAAGAATATATAAACAGGTCATGAACAAACTTTAAAAATGGATTCTCCTTTAAAGCAGAAAAACGTGGGAAACCATGGCTTCTCCCTTTCAGGCTGTCAGAGTTCCAGCCTCCAAGAGGCTGCCTGGGGCCACCCCTGCCCCATATACTGGGGGGGCTGGGGCTGCTCATTGATGTTTACAAATGGGTCCTGGTACAAAAACTAAATTTAAAAAAAAGTTTTAGAACCACTGTTACATATCACACACATCCCAACCCCCCCAAAATCAGTATCTGCTATTCTTTTATTGGCCAATATTAAATCATGCATTTATCTACATCATGTCTTACTAGGACATCTATGCAGTTGCCCTTTCCAGAGCTAATGCCTTTCAATTCTTTAAATCCTTTTAAAAATAATCTCACTTGCCCTATTGTATATGCTTGCAGTTAGTTTTTTTTTTTATCATTTAAGAACATTTCCCTGAAATCATATAACAAAGTTCACATCTCACTTATCCATTCTTGCCAAGCCCAAACAGGCCTATAGCATGTCAAGACTCTTTACTACTCATGGGTGCTAGGACTTCCCAACTTAGTCTTATTGCATCTTAAATCATAACATTTAGGCTATAACTTCCAAGTGTCGAGCAACACTGGTCTCAGAAATGTTATGATGTATATTATATTACCTCACTTAAGGGTAATTGCCCCAATATGGAAAAGATATGTTTCAGAGCAAATGTGCAACTCCCTTTGCCTCAGTCAGTCAAGCAGGAGTGTGTTATTGTGCAAGTATACCATTTCAAAAATAAGTAAAAGCATGACAACAATGTGCAACTTTGTATTTCACATTTGAAAACATTCCCAATTCTGCTGTACCTGTTCTAGCAGATGTTGTACAAATGGGAATAGTGGGCTTTAATTTAAAAAGCAAAGACGAAATATAATCATCACCAACTTACCCGGATCTCCTGAAGGTTATGAAAATTATTTCCTACTCTGACAGAGATCTTGCTTGGAGTGTAGCTTTCATCAGATTTGTAGTCTGCATAAATACATAACGTCTTCACTGTTGTTTTTCTTCTGTAAGAAAGTAAAAAAACTAAGCAAGCATCCTACAGAAAAATTATCAAAGGTATGGTTAATTTCAATTTTGGAACAAGTGAGATTTAAATGCTGTAAAACTTAAAACAAACATGACTGTACTAATTTAAAGGATCCCTGCAGAAATTAAGTATTTAAGCACATATTTTATAAAATATACACATACACACACACACACAGAGCTACGCAGAAGGGATAATATGAAAGAACCATGGTATCTATCTACAGAAACATAAGTAAAGAATCATCATGACAAGAAACTAAAATAAGGCACTGTGACATCAAACCAACCAGTGCAAAACATACCTTTCACCGCACATTAAAGCTTGTTAAGTCTGGGCTATCGTGGCCTCCTAAGGAGACCACTGAGGAACCAAAGAAAGGGACTTAACTGTCCAAGTTCTGAACTCCTTTTTAAGAGTTCAGCCATAGGAATGGACTACAAAAACCTTACAGTCAGCCTTATCTTCCGCAACAGAATAGACTGGGAAAAGGCTGGCCAGATAATGAGGTTTTAAATCATATTGGGCTTTCCAGATCATCACTAACACCCTGGATTGCACCCGAAAGCAGATAGGAAACTATTGCAGGAATATCACCATATCTTAGTGAATGTGATATTGTAAATGTTTATTACTTAACTAGACATAACCCATTATGACATTATCATTGCTTAATTTGGTATTTAGTACAAGAAAATGTCTACACTAGTGGTTTTTTCAAAGGAAGCAATTTAATTGGCCTGTGACAAGATTACTAATGAAGATGCAATCCTGCATCCATATTTCTGATTAATTTAATCAAGTGTAGGGATCACAGGACCACAACCGATCAGCCTAATCACATACAACAAGGCACACAAATACTAAATACCTAAATTGGATGTTCACCAAATGAGGCTGTGACCCATCAGACTGCCAGTATGTTTCTAGATTATCATCTCGTAATTGGTCAACTCCAAAACCTAATGAGAAGAAAAAAGTTTACAATCTCCTGTGTTGTGTTTCCATGTTGCAGGCATCACAAATGAAACTTTTTCAGCAAGATGTCTACACGATGATGCTAGAAATGTAACTTCAAGCATCAGAAAAGCTACTTACAAACCACAGAAGTTTTCAAATTTATTTGCTGCATAAAATGGGTGAAGAAGTGTTGACCACAATACGCCCATGTCATGA